GTCAGCTCTGAGTGACGATGCTGCACCTCCTGCCACTGCTGCCCACAAAGCACCAGGCAGCGACGGTCCCCTCTCTGCCACCCTGGTGTGTGAGGGTGTGATGGATTCAGCTGCTCCAGCCAGGACAGGAGCACAGCACAGACGGTGACCTCAGGCAGAGGGACCATAACTAACCCCCAGCCATGTTCTGGGCACAGCTGTTTGCAGAGTCAGTGTCTGCTGCTGGCCAAAAAGTACATGATTATTTTTTTTCTGCTGTTGTTCTTTTTTTTCTTCTTTTTTCTTTTTTTTTTTTTTTTTTTTTTTTAAGTCATATGCTGCTTTCCTACTTGTGCTGCTGGCTCCGGAGATCTCTCTTGCAGCAATGTAAACACGGCTACTGTGTGTCCCCACGATTGCAGCCTGTAGCTCACAATGAGACAGCCAATGCCAATAGATGTATAATGAGCATTTAAAAAGCACTTATTTTGTCATCCAATCATCCATCTTCCTCATTGTGTAAATATTTTTTTTTGTTTCCACAACAAAATGACTTTAAAAGAAATGTTCACCAGGAAGAAAGAAAATTTTGATTCTAGTGATAAAATCAGGACAGTCAAAATGATTAATATGACATTGGGGAGAGCTCACAAATGAGGCTTAATTTCTGCGGCAAAAAGACCTCGTGGATACATCAGTGCTATGATGTGCCTGGAAATTTAGTGGCAGCTGGAAATTTGATGGTGACCTCTGATAAGTAAGAAAATGGTGAGGGTTTTAATGAATGACTTGAATAAGAAAATAAGCCAGTCTGTGTGGTATTCTTCCTGATATTTGTTTTGCTATTAAGTTCAGTTAATGTGGCTCTCATTGTGTCAGGATGATTGTGTTGACAGCACATCACAACATATGAGCATGGGGCAGTTTGACTGTCAGGGAAGGGGGCACATTGCTCCACACTCACGAGGTAGAGCAGGGAGGTGACTTTAATAAGATGGCTTTTGGAAGCCTTTGGCAGAAGACGTCAGAGATTGTAATGACAGAAAGAGTCCTGGTGAGCTCCTTTGCTCTCCTCTCTCAAACTGGCCACAAAACCTAAATTAATTCCTTTCTGTTCAACGTTTTTGGGTTTTTTTTTTGTGTGTGTGTGAAAAAAAAAATTAGTCTGTAATTATATCTAGAAAATAGGGATGGCGGGAGGTGGCTTTAACCACAAAGTTTGGGAAAGTTACACTCATGGTGGATTGCATTCACTGCAGTTTGTTCTTTGCCTCACTTCATTAACTTGCAGTGTTTATTCTGTGGCTCTTGTATCTTTGTTGTGAGGTTCAGGAGCATATTTTATGAAATGTTGATTTTCCATGTGAGTATTTATAGACTATGTTTGAGTCACCTGTTAATCTTCCTCTTGTAAAACCAAAATAAGCTCAGTGTTTCTGTCAGTATAATGCACACTTTCAAGACCTTGTTCATTCTCAGTTTTTCCAGTTCAGTGTCCTCTTTCTTGGCTGTATCACCACAACTACATTCATGCTCCTGGTGGTAGCCACTGCCCAGGGCTTCTGTTCAGCAGAGAGCAATGGGAACCCAGCTAGGCTGGCTTCCATCTGAAAAGTGGACCAGCATGGAATAGATGAGGAGACCTCGAGGGTCAGCGAGCTACCTGGAAAGCCTGGAAGCAATCCCAAATCCTGTCAAACGCAATGTTTTTTTTTTTGTTTGTTTGGGGTTTTTTTTGTTTTGGTTTTTTTTTTTTTTTTTTTTTTTTTTTTTTTTTTTTTTTTTTTTTTTTTTTTTTAATTTGAAGCAATAAGAGCTGTGTAAAAGCTGTTCCTTTCTTCATTCATAATATTGCAGTTGATTAAAACCTCAGGTTTGCATTTCTGGTGCCTTCAGTATTTTCCAGGGAAAGTTAAGCAAATTTAGCCAGTCATAGCCCAGTCACATTTCTTGGTTATCTTGCAGAGCTCCTTCAATATAACTCCCCCAAGCCAAAGGCTGGAAACCTGTGAGGTAAAATACACAGAATGGCAGCACAAAAGGCACATGCTGACTATTGTTCCTAAGAGCATATTCAGTGCTTGGGTGACCATCTCAGTAAGTCTCTGCAGCTCATTTCAGATCCCTGTAGTTCATCCAGATTCTATGGTCTGTGCATCAGGAGGGAGGTGGAGTAATCCCTGAATAACTGGCTGCTTTTGGGAGCTCTTGGGTACAGTATAATGTTCACCCTTGGTGCTTTCAGTTTATCTGGGGCTTTGTGAACACAAAATTGCTAAACTGATACAGAACATCCTGTTAGACTTCCCAGAAGCAACTCAGATGTTTGTGATGGAAGTCATAAAGGCATAGAGATGTTCAGTTTCTTTTCAGTTTCATGCAAGTGAAGTGTTTCACTTCTTTTACAGATCTGTAACCATCTCTACAGTGTTACAACACTCAAATCCATTTAGGCCCTTGGCTAATGGGAACATTGTTCTTCCAGAGCAGAAAGGTCACTTCCAGCAGAAGTGACTGTATCTCAGTCACTTCACTCCAAATTCTGCTAGTTTGGTTCCAGGCGCTGAAAAGCTGCTCAAAACCTCTCGACGCTCTCGCGAAGCAGATGAAAGATGTTTCCCACTCAGTGCTTAGCTAAAGTGATTGCAATGAACAGTGAAGCAGCAGAATGAACTTTTGGACTGAACTCACAGGCACACTGCTTGGGTTTCCAGGTACAAACATCCACAGGAAAAGACACTTGTTTTTTTAAATACCTTTTTTCAACAAAAAAAGTATCCCAAGGTCCCTTCATAGTATTACCTCAAGTAGAAAAATCCATCAAAAAATATTCAATCCATCCCTTTCAATCATATGATCAAAGTATTTTACCATGGCATCTAAAAAAAACCATCTAAAATGAGAGATGAAAAGCAATCAGCACAGCAAAGAAATTACTTTAATCTGGGAGGAAGTAGGAGAGTAAAGGGAAGTTTGGGTGACAAAGCCGTGGTGGAGAAGACTTCTTCCCTGAGGAGCTGTGTTAAGGTAAGAGGAAGTGCAGATGCTGGGAGCCCCAGAGAGAGTGGTGCAGAAGATGATTTGGCCTGCGTGATGTGGTGGGTTCTGAAGGCCAGGAGAAGGTATTTGATGTTGTGGTACAAACTTCCACACTGGGGGGAGAGCAGCAGTTAGACCATAAAATGGCTGAGATTTCTTTCAGGAGAGGCAGACAAGAACAAAGAAGTCTTTTTCTTCATCAGATTTGGCTTAGAAAGGAATGGGAAGGACAGGAACATTTAGAAGACAGAGCTGCTGCCAGAGTCTCTGTAAAATTAATTAGTAGATTTCACCTTATTTTCTACACTCATCAACAGGCTAGAGAGGAAATGAGTGGAATCCTTTTAAAGTAATTTTTAAAGTAATTTTCACTTCAACATATGTACTTTCTAGAAGGGTAGTAAGGAAAATATATCATGCCAGACTTGATGGGATCTTTTGTTTCATACAGTGTGACAATTTACTTTTACACTGGAGTTCATATTTCCCCAGTAGGTGCAGCAAACTACTTAAACTGTGGAAGGATATTTACTATTTAGAGAAGTCCTTGGACAGCTCTGCAAACTTTGCCTTGTTTCTCTGTCCAAGAGCTATATATAGTCTTTGCTTAATCAAGGTCTCAGATTTGTGTGAGCACAGCTAAATATTTTTGAGAGTATAAAAAAGATAACTCCAGCCATTTTGCTTTGCTAGAGCCAGTGTTTGTCTAACTGTGTAGTAACCGAGGATACTGTAAACACACATTGATTTGTGCAATTTCTTACTCTGAAATTAACAAGCAGATATAAACAATGCATCCTAAAAACTTTTAGATCCATAACATCTCTGTAAAACTGCTTAGTTACCTTTCAGGCTACCTTGTTCTTTATCTCAGGGTACGAAACCCCTCTGACCATCATTATATTGCATCTGACTCTACTGGGCTTGACCTAACTATGATCTAAAAATGGTGTGACAATAGCAATATTCTATAATCATGGCAGGAGAACAGAAAATTTGACTGTCTGAAAAAACTCATCTGACGGTGAAAGCTGGCAGTCAATGCTGACAAGTACCCTGAGTAAAGTGCCTTTTTCTCAGCTGAAATTTGACCAGGAACCTCAGGGATAGGAAGCCCTCTCCTGAAAAGCTGACTGAAAGATGTTTAATGACTCAGAGTAACCAAGGGTCTGTTTCAGTTTCTGCTGGTGGACAGACAGTATGAAATGCCTAAACAGGGAGCCCCTCTACCCTTCTGTTCCCTCCTGTCCAAACTATCAGGCCACAGAAGGACTGGTAGGACATGAAGGTGCCCTGAGGGCGTTAGGAAAATGACAGCTATGGGCAGCTGTGTGGGTGAGGGTCAGCATCTGCAATTTGAAATGGAAAAGAAAGAGATTTCTCTGCAGTGTGTGGGGAGTTGAGATAGAATGGACAGGAGGGCTTCAAATGGCTAGGGGTGGGTGAGTTTAGTCCCTGACACTGTTCTCTTCTTCATCCACCTCCTCTGGCAAACTTTGCCTCTTGCTCTCTCAGTTGGAAAATACCCCCTGACACAAAGGTCGCATTAACTTGAGGCACAGGACAGGGTAAGCGACAGCAGGGAGCTAAAGCCATCACCTGTCGTTCACTTAAAGAAAACAAGGACCTTCGAGGAACCTGAGCAGGTCTTCCACACTGGCGTAGGACGGAGCGGGCCACAGGTCGGGCCACAGGTCGGTCCCCAGCTCAGCCCGGGATCGCCCCGGGGTTGCCGTGCCCGCCCCTCGCTGGCCCCAGGCCCCCTCACGCCCCGCTCCGCGCCAGGCCCGTCCCTCGGGGCCGGCGCTCCGCCCCGGGGCTGCGCGGCCCGTGCCCGCCAGGAGCCGGGGCTGGCGCTGGGGCGGGCCGGGGGAGGGCTCGCCCGGCTGCGGCGCCCCGGCCCGGCCAACCCGCGCCCGCCGGGGCTGAGCCATAAAAGCGCCGGGAGCCGGCGGAGCCGCGGCTTCAGTTGGCGGCAGCCGTGTCGGGCGCCCGTGGGGTGGGCAGCGGCCGCCGCTCCGCAGCGCAGGGACCGCCGCCGGCCATCCCCAAGATGCTGTTTTGGCACACGCAGCCGGAGCATTACAACCAGCACTCGACCGGCAGCTACCTGCGGTGAGTCCCGGGCGGCGGCAGCCTGGCACGGGGTGGATGTTCGGTCGGGTGCCCCTGTCCCGCGGCCGCCCGCCCGCCGGCTTCCCTCCCGGTGCCCCGCCGCGCCGCTCCCTCTGCCTGAGAGACCGTTTTACTTTTTTCTCTTCCTTTTTTTTTATTTTTTTATTTTATTTTTTTTATTTTTTTTTAGCGCCTGGTTAGGCAGTTCTCTGCAGCGTTGCTTTCTTGCCTGTGCCGGGTTCCCTCTTCTCCGGGCTGGCGTAGCGCAGCTCCAGGGGAGGAGGTGCGGCAGCGGCGGAGCGCTGTCAGAGGAAAGCGCCTGTTGGCAAATTGAGAGGGCACCCAGTTTTCTGGGGATGGGATTCCTTTCTCTGCGTTTTAGGACGATGTGTGAAAAGCGCAGAATTTCACTTTCTGAACTTGTCTAAACCAGCTTTTTCCTGCCTCCGCACAGTTGCGTTCAATTAAATGTGCCTAATTTAAGTACAAGGGCTGCTAAACAATAGTCTGTGACATGTGTAGCACAAACCCGTGTTTCCTCCCTCCAAACGATGTCAAAGCAGGCAACTTTGGGAGTTCCCTTTTTGCTGGGTGCTTGTGAATTATTTGTTTTCTGAAGATGTAAAGCTCCGCCGTCGGCTGGTGGCGATTGCTGGAGTGGGATTTTGCTGAATTGTGGCAGTGGAGAACCTGGCTATGGCCCAAGAACCCTGACTTTCGAATGTACCCCCAAATAACTACTCTTGAGAGAGCATTGAGTTTGTCTGGGGAAGCACTTCGAATGCAGATAATGCTTCTCTTTCAAGGAGACACGCTATCTTGACTATTCTTGCTGCCTATCAGTGTACTTGCAAAGGAATTTTGTTTTGGACTAAATAATAATCTCCCATTATCAAATGATACAATATTGGGAGATTATTGCCTTCTGGCAGCTTTTCCGTTTCTTCGTACAAGATTCTTCATCTCCTCCCTCTATGTCAATAACTCAGTTTCACAACGTGAATGTGGCAAAAGTCTTGTTCTCTCTTGCTTTGCACTTGCAAGTCTGATTAGTTTAGGACAGTGAAAATGGTACTAGCAGAGGAGCATCAGCATGTTCTCCATTAGAGAGTGTTTAGGGTGGTCAGGCTGCTACATTAACTCCATGGATTTGTAGCAGGAATGCTAGAAGATCATCAGGTCTGGGTCAGGCTTTACTCCACAATTTAAATTCCGTTTAATGGGCCAGAAAACATATTAGCTTATTTTTGCTGGCTTGATGCTAGCTGGGGGATAAAGGATATCTGTTCTGTCAGGAAGGCTGCTGGTATGGAGGTGACTGTTGGTATTTTAGGAACAAACTTCAGCTTTAGTGAGTACCTGTCTCTCTTAAGTGGTGGATTTGATCTGGGATGAAAATCCCTATAGCCACTTTTATGGCGACTATGCCCTCAGGTGTTTCAGGGGAGGTTGGTTGAACAAAACCCTTGTTTTTTATGTAGAGATGGCTGATTCTGGCCAATTCACTTTCCATGAGAATGTGTTAAGACCTGCATTTCTAACAGGGGCGTTTTTCTGCTGAGCAATGCCTTTCTGAAGGCTTTCCATACCCCCTTGTAGTGACTGCAAGAAACTGAAACAATACAATATTTGAAGTTGCTGTAGGAAAAGTTTGTGTAAGTTATATTTGCAGAGATCAAGAGCTTTCTGCGTATTTGAGACATCCGTGTAAATTCTGCTGTACTTCAGTGGTATTTGTAGCTGGAGCAAGATGATGCTGCAGAAAAATTCTTGTAAATTTTCATTAATTTCTTCTGAAAACGCAGTACGTGTTTTACCCTCTGATCTGTCAGCTGACTGAACTCTCAATTAACTTTCTTTCCTTCCAGCTTCCAGGGATGCAAACTAATTATTATTTAAGTCCAAAACTGTAAATCTTTAGCATAACGGTGAAAATTGGGGGAGTTTTAAGGAGTTCAACCTTTTTTTTTTTTTTTTTTTTTTTTTTTTTTTTTTACGGATAGGAACTGTTGTAAAAGCCTGTTTTCCCCTAAACTTGATTTGCAGCTCTTGAATGAAGAGTTGAATAAATGTTGTGGTGGCTTATATGCTTATAACTTGAAAAATCTTTTGACCTCATTCTAAGTTCCAAACACAATAAGGTCGAACGCTTAAGAAGGTCTTGACCCAAAGCAGTTAGAGCACAGGCCATTAGTTTAAATGCTCTAGGAATAAAAATGTGATTAACTTATGTGGCTTTGTTAGAGCTTTAATATGGTGAAGCTTTCCAGAAACCGAGTCATGAATTCCTCCATGCTTGCAGAATTCAGTGATCAGACAGCTGTGCTGGCAGGTGTAGGGGTGCAAAGAACCTGATGTGAAATATGGCATTTAAATTTGACTTCCCCTTGCCTAAATTTCTCAACTGTTTCAGGTGAGTATGTGTACAAATTCCTCACCCCTGACTGTTAAACCCAGGCCAGATTTGGGCACTGTTTCTGCCGAACTGCAGAAGTTCTCGGGCGCTGGAGTTTTTGACCTGTTCTCATCTGTAAAGCCACAGGCATTCAGAGAACATTGTGCAGAGCGGGTTAGGAGCAAATGCTGGCATCCTTAGGAGCAAATGTTGGCATCCGGGCTGAGTGAGATGACTCCGGGCTGAGTGAGATGACTCCGGAGCAGTATCAGATCCTGCATGTGTGTGGAGCAATGCTATCTATTTCAGAAATCTACTGCAGGCATTTCTGTCACTTCATTGCTGTAGTAAATCATCACTAAGGGAAAAAAAAAAAAAAAAAACCAAAAAACAACCTCTTTGTGGCAGCAGTTAGGCAAGAGCTGTGATTATGTCAGTAATGCCAGGAAGCAAATGGGGCTGGATGCCTTCGAGTGGCTGGTAATACTGGGGGCGTGGAGTTGGAGGAGAGAATGGAAACAGAGATGGGTGTTTCTTTTCTTCTCTCTGCATCTGAAATGGCACAATTTGCGCTCTGGCATTGTTTTGTATTAAACAGGAGTACCTGTGTTTGAACCAGGCACTTGAGCAGTTTACTCTAAACTGCTTCACTGTTTCACTGATGACCTAGGTAGCCTTCAAGGTTGTTGTGAGTGCTATAAGTGGATCATTAACTGAACAGGCAAGGAAAAAATTCTTAATGCCCTTTCAGGTTGCATGCCTGTACATGCTGGATGGTTTTTCTTAGAGCATTTTGCGGATGGGGTTGTCAGAGGGAGCAGAACTACAGCCTGTGTAAAATTCTCGAGTCTTCACACATCTGGAAGAAATAGAGGAGAAAAAGAATCGCTTGTTCTGAATTGTCACCATGTTCAGTATAATCCTCCTAATTTGGAAGGGTATTAATGTTTTAAGTAGGTGGACACAATGGCTAATGTGGTTCTTCAGTGTCAGTCAGGCTGAGATAAGGATGCTTATTCCTGACATCTCATTTTGTACTAATCAACTCATTTGTTGAGCTCTCAGCCTTGCTTATACCAGTTCTGCTTGGGGATTAGTGTGGGTTGGGATCAGCCTGACACTAAATCAGCAGGCAGGTCACTATCAGCATTTTGTAAAGAAGTGGGAGCTGGGGCTGTGTGCAGGTCCTAGTGAAGCTGCTCCCATGCACCTGTGTATGCATTTATGAAGGTAGCCCAGTCCTGACTTAAGAGCTGTATGATTCCTTGGGACCAGGTTTACTAGAATGCAGGGAGATATTATGAATAAATTAATCCAGCCGTTCATGGCATCATTTACCTGAATATCTCCTTTGTACACCAGAGCTGTGTCTGCTTCTCACCCATGGCTGCTACTTGAAGACATTTTTCTGATCTGACATTTGGCTGTCAAAGTGCCCTTTCTTGCTTTTTTTTTTTTTTTTTTTTTTTTTTTTTTTTTTTTTTTTTTTTGGGGGGTTTTTTTTTGGAAACAGGGATTTTTTTTTTTTCTGGAAGGCTTTCATCTGAGAACCTGAGAACTCTTAATCAAATATGTCCATATGTCCACAAGGATGAAGGATCTATTTTTGATATTTTTTTTCTCATCAAGAAGACTGCTTAACTGAAAAGTGAATCTGATTTATTTCTTAAAAACTTGCATTAATTCTCAGACGTACTCTGTTTTGGCAGTGCTATGTTCTTTGTGTGAGTGCTGATATCCTAGATGCAGAAGTTGCCTGGTTACGTTAAACAGGCCAAATTCTTCCTCTTAGCCATTTTAACCCGGTGTTTCTCTGGACAGCACCCCTGTTACCTCAGATCACGAGACCCAGATGCAGATTGAGGCTGGAATAGTCCATAAACTCTTTTTGACTGTGTCTAACTTGTACGTTGCAGAGATGTCCTTGCGCTGCCGATCTTCAAGCAGGAAGAGCCGCAGCTGTCTCCTGAGAACGATGCCAAACTGCCACCCTTTCAGTACGTCCTCTGCACAGCCACCTCCCCCGCCGTGAAACTGCACGAAGAAACTCTGACCTACCTCAACCAAGGTAGGGTTTGCAGTACACTGAAGGAGAGGATATTTCTTGGGAACAATTCATGAGATTTGATCCCACACTTTGACTTACTGGGAGGGCAACGGGATGGGAAAAGAGGGATAGAAGTGGGGAGGGGGGTGGAGGAAAGGAGAAATATTTAATTTTCCACATTTACATACCAGATTATCAACTATTTTAAAATCATGAAATACCACTGATTTAATTGTTGACTTAAGGCAGTGTTATAGCATGCACAGTTCCCTGTGGCAAAATACTGGCTTGATCTCAGACACCTTAAGCTGCAGCCTCCTGCCTTCAACTCACAAGGCCAGATTGATGAAGCAGATTGGACTGGGGAGGGCTCTTACCACTGCAAGTCCCCTGGCACTGCTGGAGGGCATAGCCAGGGAATGATTTAGCAGGTATCCAAGGGCTGCTCTGAGGTCTGGGCAGAGTGACATCTCTCCAACAGGCTGGCTGATGGCTCTGCTCAGTGCCTAACTTGACAACTTGCCAGGGTTCAGTGCAGCAAGGTCCTCTATAGCCAACCTCACAGACTGGTTCATACTTCTGAATAAACACTTTGTTTCTCTGTGTTCTTTTCACCCGCTTTGGCAGCATTTGTGCAGACACATGTGTGGTTGGTGTTTGGCTGTCGCTTTGCAGGACCTCCTGTGCATGAGTCTTGAGGGGATCAGACCTCTCCATGCACACGGTATGCTAAAACATATTTTCGCTCAGTTTCTGCCAGGCTGTAAAAAAGGGCCTAACAGCAAGCTGAAGGCTGTCTGCCCTCTCACTGAGATCCTCTTCTGCCTCAGGATACTGCCTCATTTCTAAGCTTCATGCCCTGAGTAGGATGCTCACTTGGGTGCATCCCTGGATAGGTTTCTCTTAACGCTGGTAGAAATCGGAGCCCTGACCTCCCTTGGACTCTGACCTCAGGTGCAGCTGGCTGCTGGATCTGTGTTGTCAGCTGGTAGACCCATAGAACCCCCACAGAAAGATCAGTGGAGTACTGCAGGCTCTACCCAAGGAACCAGGTATTTCCTGTCACATAAGCTGGCACTGTTCTGTCTCTGAGGACCAAAAGGTGCTTGGGGTATGTGACTGTGTCATCTCAGTTTATTCATCTAAACACAGCAGATCCCAGGAGGTTATAATGGGGCATATCAATTGTGAGATTCAGATGAGTCTTCCTATGAAACACAATTCTCTCCTGTATTGAAATAAAATATTTTTTTAATTAAAATCTGTTGACAGCCAAGTATTTTAGCATACTTGAAGCAGTGCCTACTTTTTTACTTTGGCAGGGAAAAAGTTAGACAACTCTTAACACAATACCATGAGTTTTTAAAAAAACTCTCTGACTGGAGCAGTCCATGTTTTCCTTTGCAAAGTAAGACTGTTACTGCCTTTTATATAGACCATGTTGTGTTAAGCTTTGTCCTGCTAACTATTGCAAGGAGTTAGCTACTGCTACATCTTGACAGGGCTTCCTGCTTCATTGTCATTTATTGGATATCCTCTATCTTTCATCCCTCAAGGTGGGATGTGTCTTTGCAGAATACAGAAGAGCATGAAGCTGGGCAGGCCTGGAGGAGCAAAGCAGGGATGAGGCTGGCAGGAGCTGTGCACAGGGGCCGAGTTGGGAAGCTGGGGTGTCTAGTTTCTGTTAGTGGGACATTGGTGAGAACATTGCCGTGGGTTAAAAAGGGATGAGGATTTAAAGGCTCTGTCAGAAAATGAATACCCTTAGTAGAGTTACATTCTATGAGCTTGAGGAGGTGTGTGAAGGGGACCTCAAGGCAGCTGAGGTTTCTGGAACCAATGCTTGTGGCATGGGAGAAGAACTAGCTGACTCCAAAGCACTGTGACCCAGCTACAATGCCACATCTCATGAAGCGATTTAAGACCATTCCTTATACCTTATCAGCTTGTGCTGGCTGTAAGCAAAGGGACACCTCTTGCACCTTAACCTCCCTCTGTGTTTATCATGGATTGGCCAAGCATTGTTACATAAAACTTCCCTTCTTGAGAGTTGTGATGGATTACTTTAGCAAATGGGTAACTTCGTTAATGAATGTCCCTCTGCCTTGCCTGAGTGTCAGTCATGGCTGGCTTGTAGTAAAGTAGGTACAAAGACAGTGGCTGTCCCAGCAGCACCAAGGCAATTCACATCCAGTGTGGTTGCTTTCTCAAATTGTTAGTAAGGGCTGAGAAGTTTTCTGCTTGCTGGGTGGTTCTTGCCACTTGCTGTTCAAATGTTCCTTCTCAGCTTTAGCTGTTCACCACTCAGTTATGACCTTTTGTCACTGTGAAGCAGCTCTGCTTCCTGCCTTGAAACACATTCTCTACATGTGACAGGTTCAGTGGTGGTGAGTGGACCAGCTCAGGAATGTCCATGTGCGGGACTGCATGGAAGAAACCTCCGTCAGACCTGACCTATGGGCTGTGGAAAGCTGGAAGTACTGGGTAGCAAATTGAAGGCCAAGTGGCATAGCAGAGATAGAAGAGGAATCAGTGGAGAGTTCCATGTGAGACCTGAAAAGACTTCATATGGGCTAGGAAGGAGGACTGTCCAATGGCTGTGTTTGTGTGCAGGTGGGACAGGGCTCCAGGCTTGTGGAGTATGGATGGCTTCTCTTGAGCCTTGCTTCTTGCAGGGTAGACCTAGAGGGATGGTCAGTGATGTTGAGGAGGAAGAGGTCTTTCTAAGGATGGAGGCTGAGAGGACTCTGGAGCTGGAAACCAGAGACTGGTGTTTGCACAAAAGGGCAGAGGAAGGATTTGTGAGGGAGCATAACGGAGTGAGCTTTGCTGTTAAGTTGACTTGGGGACATGAAGCAGTGGCAGAGTCCCAAGTTTGTCTGCTCCAGTTTGAAACCATGACTGCTCTCTGGCCACAACTCTAGAACCAGCCTGTAAATGAGGTAACTAGAGTCAAATCTGTAGCTTGGTTTCCAAAGACTGACTCATTACACTTGTCAGTCCCAATCTTTTTCCTCTCCTGCCTTCCCACATTCCTTGGGAAACTGGAGCCAAATTGAACACAGTATTAGTTTGTTGATCCTTAGGGCAGATCCTTCATTAAGAGATCTTTACTGAATCCCAGGAGGATTACTCATCTGATGGGACAAAGTACAGGCTTATTATTGTGGTGTCTGAATACCACTCCACCTTCAGTCCATGAGACTGGTAAAGGTGCTGTCCTTGCACTAGAAGCTGCTGCTGGCATTTCTCCTTTGGTCAGGGATCACATCTGTCAACAGAACTACACTGTCCAGAAGTCTGCAGCAGAAACATCCTAATGTTTCTGGAACTAGTCTGCCTTTTAGCACTATTTCAGTGTCTCTTGTGGATAGGGATTTTCAAACAAACAATCGACCAGCAACCATATTACAATCCACTGCTTCAGCAAGATGGCTTGATGCAGTGCATATTCCATGGTCTGCAGTCATATGGGGTGTGGTTTGACCATGGCTGGTTGAAACCAGTTTCCGACATGGACAGAAATGGATGCAATGAAAGGTGGTTCCAGAAATTGCAGCAGGAGGAATGTGGAGGAAACAAGCACTGTGTGCAGTAGATCTGAACGGTAATAAATGTGAGGAATAAAGTCATTATTGTAAAAAGCAAAATGTCAAAAATCACAAAAACCTGAAAGTCATTGCCCAAGGGAATCAGCTTGTAGTGCCAGAACCACATGTGGACTGTGAGCTGTTGAAGTCATGATTTTGTTTCATGACCAGTGTTGGGCTGGCTGAGAACTTCAGGTGTTAGTTACTTCAAAGAGAGGGAGGTTAAGTTTGGTGGCACAGGGTCACTGAGAGCTGTGTGAGAGATCCAGCCCAGTGTCTCAGTGGTACTTCAGAGTAACTTGCCGTCATCTGCCTGTAAAGTTTTCTTGGGCTCTGTTCAGCTCTCTTGATCTGCAGTGTGTGACTTGTGGTTCCTGGCTGTGCAAAGATTTTAGTGTACAGCTGGCTAGGGTTTGGAAGGCTGGACACTTCTGCTTTATGCTGTCTTCCAGGAGTCAGCCTTAGTGCCAGTCCTAGATGTTTCAGAAGACAAACAAGCCAAAAACCCAAGCCATGAAGGAAAACCACTAATATCTTAGAGAACTTGTGATTTTGGGTGTGTTGCTGTAGAGGTGCATTAGCAAATGATGCCTCATAAACCTAATGATGAACTTGAGTCTGGGTCCACCTGAACAAAAGCCCAAATTTCAACCCCAGGCTGCCAAGGCATATATCCAGGTTCAAGATATGTGTGCATAAACTGGTACATTTTAAGTGGTGCTGCATTTAAAATCTGTTGGGTGTTGTCCTGCCTCGACTCAGCTGCAGGTGTGCTCTGGTTGCTTCTCCAAAGAAAGATGCAGGAAGCACTGAGCAAGAGGATGCTTTGAATTAGATGCCTAATTGTTTGGATAGGAGATGAAATTGCTTACAGCAGGAGACAGAAGAGAACATTTGCCTCCCTTAAAAAGTCTAAAGCTCAAATTTGGTTGCCTAATCTACAGCAAGAGAACCCAGTTTTAATCACTGAGATTTACAGTAAATGAAAAAAGCTGTTTTATATTGACGTTAACTCCTACGTAATTGAGTTTTTATGGGGTCACAACTGTCTGGATGTTTATACTTTTCCTGGAACAGTTCTTTATTTGCCTAAATGAGGTGTAGAGAAAGCTGAGTGATCAGCACTGGCTGGGTGTGCTTCTGGTTTAATTATAGCTCTGTTTATGGGGATATTTTTGCTTTGTTCCGTGCTAGGAGCTACCTCTTTTCCTAACAGTGACTGCCATCACTGACCAGGCTCTGGGCATGTGTAGGAGCTCTGCTGCTGGTGGTTTCTCCCATGTGGATAAATGTTCCACCCTTGCCTGAGATCACAGGCACAACAGTGGCTTTGTGCCATTGAGGCTGTGAGTATCAGGTGCTCCCTGGTTCCTGCCCACCCACCCATGCATCCTTTTTCCCATATCATTATGGGAGGTCATACTGCTCCTT